AAATCTTATGCCCTCTGAAATCAGAAATACTGAAGAAACCCAATAGAATTTAGGCACAGAAAGGCTTAAAACCTCACTATATCACTGATATTTTTAAGGTTTGCTGCATCCTTAAAAAATATGCCTCTTCCTTCCTTCCAGGTTTAGAATCTGAAGACTCAATGTGTCTTAGATACAAGACACCTAAACCAATGTTGATATGACTCCCACCACCTATGTGGGGGAAAACCTGGCTGTGTGTAACATATGCACTGACTGTATAAAGATAAGAGTCAGACAAGAGAGGTAGATATTTTATTGAAACAGGCACCATAATCAAAGTTTACAAGTATCTTATGCATCCAGCCAGTACATCAATTAGGAGCTGCACCAATAGAAAATAACAATTTCTTTCATTAGTATTTTTAATATATTTAGATAATGCTATCTCAAATTTTAAACACAGCATTTTTTTTTTTTAAAGGGAGTGTGACCCAGAATGAAAACAGGAGAGGTAGAACGCAGCAAAGCTTATGAATGCCATACAAAGTTAGCTATTGACAAACTGCTGAGAAGTCTTGAGAAGTTCTTATCAGCAGAACTTTGCTTGGAGTTCATGAAGGTGCATAAAAGGAGTGAGACACACTCACAGTGGTCCTGTAAGTGTTACATTGTTTAACATCTTTTAAATTTGGGGAGTTCCGCTTTGGTGATGGAATAGCAAAGTAAGACCCAAAAAAGCCCCTGAAGAGAAAGACTTTACCCCTGCCTCCCAAGAGCATTTTTTTCTTTCCTTTGCAACCAAGATGTGAAAAACCCAAAACAGAAAGATGCGATGTTTTAAAACAGGAATGAAGTCTGTAGTCAGAAGGAAAACTGGGAGGTAGGAGTTTATGCAAGACAGCATGTTTACATTTACCTTACAACCTCGTTAAGAGCCATACTGAAAGTGGACTATGGCTCGAAGAATGGAAGGGAATAATCTCTTAATAAAACGATTTGCATGGATGGAACATCAGTCCTGCAAGATAACTGCTATATGCCAAGACAACTTTCGTTAATAAATTCCAACAACATTAATGCTTAGCAGGTAAACTAATTTGCATGTAAAGTGATAAATTGCTAAATCTGCTTCCATAAAATAACATTTGATTAAAAATATTTTAATATTTGTAGCCTTTGAAACATTTTCATTAATTTAAAACTATAAGCTCTCTGGACAAGGACACATTTCCTATTTTCCCCAAAACATGCTACATACACCTACTTTCCTATGTAAATAATAAAGAAATGTAATAGTCTACTTAATTATTCATCACTTGTTAAATTGGTTAAAATATAATTTACAGCTGCACAGGAATAAAGGTAATGATAAATCTTCTTCAGCTAACCATATATGACCATACACAATATATATAAAGGGATAGATGACAGAATGCCATAGTAATGCAAAAATATACATAACCAAGCTCAGATTCTCACCTGTTATAAAGCAGTATGTGTATACGTATGTGTATACATACATGCATGCTTACACTGGGTGCAGATGTGATGCAAAATTCTCTATCAAGACAGACTCCCTGATTACCATAGGAACAGAATACGTTTAAGTGCAAGATAAAAAAAAAACTTGATCTGCATTCATTTGCAAAGTTATCACCCTCATCATAACTGAGTTGGGACTCGGCATATTTCAAACTGTAATAAATCAAAAGGCAACCAACTGTATCCACTATCCCAGAAGCTGGCTTTTAAAACCCAAGGCTTCCAACCACTAGCACGCCTTATCTTACTGGTCAGATTAGAAATAACCAAGGCCATAAACAGTATTCTTGGGTTATGACTAGCCCAGATCACAGAAGTCTAAGTGGCTTCCTCCAAAAATGGGGAAAAAGCAGTGCGGGTGCAGGGAGGAAAGAAACTGCCAAGTATGTGAAACACTTAACAACTTGTCCTGTGAAGTCATTGGAGTATTCTTCCATAAAAAAAAAAACAAACAAAAACAACAGAATCCAATGAAAGAGAGACGTAAAGCAATTTCTTCTGTGAGAAAATTAAAGCTTTATAATGGAAACAAAAAAAGATCAGTTAGGTGCTTGTGGAAGAAAGAATGGCCTGAACTCAAAACCTTACCAGGTCTTAGGAACATTGTCAACAGACTTAGCTGGTGTCATGACCTAGCCACCTTGGCCAGTGTAAGGAAGGACAACTCGCATTCATTCTCACTTAAGTGATTGACACGTCATGATGATTATGAATGACATTTTGTTGGCCTGCAGTATTCACCAAACCATTGGTTTTCAAAATGTGATCATCAGTGCTATCTAGCTGATTTGTGAAGCCATATCTCTGCAATATTTTCAATTAAATTTGGTTACAGAGCTGATCATGAGACCTGATAGCCTGAGCAGTTTGGCAACCTCTACCATCCATAGCTGAGAGCTGAATAAAAGACAAGTTTGACAAACATAAAAAAGTGTAAACATAAAATACTAACGGGGGATGGTAGGCAAACAGAGCAGAGAAAGGGAACAGAAATTTCAATAAAGTTTAACATATGTCATTTGACATTAGAAAGAAAAAAAAAAAAGATGATGGGCAAAGGACAGGAAAAAAAAGGAAAACCACCCCCAAGAAAGTGGTATTACAGACCACAAAGGTAAGAACATAGGCACAGCTCCAGAATCTTATGTTTTAGGAACTGTAATGCTGTTTTGTGTAAAATGTCATTAAAACAAAACCACAAAATTTGTGGGCTTTGCATCCTTTTTCAGAAATAGTCTCACGAGAAGTATGTGAAAGAATAAGGAGATTTGTTATACGGGGTTTCAACATGAAATATGGTCACAAACATTCCCTCATTCCATAGCTGTCAAACAGCAGTTTACTGTAACAGCATTACTGTCAAAAAGGAAATATAATACAGAATAGCAGCCAGTAAAGTTTATGTACCTAAACCACCAAAGCCAATCAGTCCTACCAATAGGGACTGAATAGTATTCTATATGTACTTCACTAGTATAATTACATTTATAATGATATTGTGGTATAAAAGTTTCAAATCAGGAGAAAAGCAGATCACACATATCACCCTATACTCATGCAAGAAAAAAAAATTAAGCTGCACTAGCACATATTTAAAAGTGTGACTACAGCATTATTTTCCAAATATTAGAGAGGATTTTTAACATACATATAGTTGAACTACCTTTTCTTATAGAGGAAAAAACAATTTAGAGATTACTTGAAAGAAAAGATAGCTACTTTTCAAAGTCCTGGTATATCACCTCTGCTATGATAAGGTCAATGCACAGCCCTGCAAGCTGTGCATTAAAAGCACCTAGCTGCTAAATTATTTTTCAGATCTATTCCCTCATGAAACTGAAGGTATAAGCAGCCCTGTAACTCTGAATGCACCATTACTCCCAATAATCTTTCATTCTCCATAAATTGCTTTCTCTGGAAGGTAAAATATTTACAACACTGTTGATCCACAGTTCTCTCACCTGTGGAGATTCCTTGCTCCCTATTTTGAAAGAGAACCAACACCTTCAGCGTCAGGAGGATCTTTATTGCACCAATTCCACACCCAAGGCTGCCCACATTCTCTGGAGCAGGTTTATCTTAGCACAATTATCATGGCAGTCTGGCTCATGGAAATGACAGGACAAAAGACATGCAACAACCCCCATCTTCAAGTATCACATGAGGTGGTAATTTCAACAATAGAAGTTGTATGTATACAGTCAGTATGAGCCAGAGCTACTTAAAAGGAGATCAGTCCAAGCTTAGACAGAATAACTGCTGTAGCATCACTTCTGCAAAAGTAACTATGATGAGGAGGGAGGGGTGAAAAAAAACCCAACACAACAAAAAACCCACTTAACACTTCTGCAATTGTTAATGCAAAGAAAAGTGTGTTAATTCGCTTTGATTCCTAAAATGCTTGGGGGATAAATTTAACTTAAACTTCTTCCGTTCATGGCTGTATTATAGCCCTTATTATTTCTACAACCTCAGTGGGAAGGTTGAAACAGAGGCAGAGAGAATTAGTTGAAAAGCTGTGATTTGCATGGGAGCTCATTTCAATAAGTCGTGGCTTGTAAACATCAGCGGACAAGCTTCCCCAGGTCATCTTAACACACAGGCAGGAAGGACAACTTTTCACAGACTAATATATTCCAGAAGATCTCAGTGACCAAATCTTTGGCTAGAGGATACCAACATTGCTTCACTGAATTCGACACAGTTATTCCTACTGATGCAAGTCAAGTATCTGGCTCTGTGGGTGTCAGTTTGATTCTTCGGTAGTAAACTGTGCCCCATCTACTCACTCATTCCTAGCTGGTGCTTAGCAACTTGTAATACAAATCCAGGGCACAGTGTATGTGCGTGCTTCTGTATACACAAATCAACAGTCAAAGTCCTTCCACTCTTTACAAACTCAAAGTCCTTCCACTCTTTACAAACTCATCAGCGTGAAAGACTGTGGGATATTTCCCTGCTTCATTCCATTAGAAACCACTTATGGAAAAAGTCATGGCTGCAACTCCCCCATCTCATTAGCATTGTAAAATGTTAGTGCAATTTGTTTTCCTGTACTGATGAATCCACTGGCAACTGGATTTGAAACCTGCATTTTAACGTCAACTACCATGAAAAAAACCTTGCATTAATACATAGAGGATCTATTTTAAAAATTCACAGCAGTAATTTTAGAATTCAGTTAATTAAAGAACCCCTTGAATGGCCATGATCATTGTAAAGAACCTACGTAGATCATCTTAAAGAATTCACGTAGGTAAAAGTAACAACTAAAGAACACTGGAGTTTATATTTCCATTTGTTTTTCCTAAGTGTTAGACAGCTAGTCTATGTACAATTTCATCAATTAGGCAAGCAACATACTAAATTCGCTCCCAAAAGTGACAAATTACTGGACAGAGGATTCCACTATAAATTTACTATTGTGGTTTAATTACAATAATTGAAAATTTAAAGACACTTCATCTCTCTCTCACCTCAATGGTGGGTGGATCCTTTCTTTTTTTTCTTATCCATGCTGCAAAAGAAATAAAAATCAAATGGATTATTTCAAAGATCACAGACGATATTGAAACTCAAAATTATGATGAATTTGTAACAAAGCAAATGTTTATATAATAATTACAATAGAATTTGCCACAACCTGGCAAGCATATAATTTCCCAAGACACAAAGACTCAAGATGTTATTTCCCGTGTCAATACTCTCAGTCTTCACAGAAGGGGAGGGGAATCACCTCGGGGAGGAGAGCTTGGGCAGAGTTTACATCCCACCCTGGCTGCCAAAACAGAGCGTAAAAAGCAGGGCTCACAGCCCAGGTCTGTTGTTCAGCTTGCTATACAGAGATAAGCTTCACTCTGAGAAAATGACAAGACGACTGCTGAAAAGTATAAAAAGCCATAGACCACTCTGGAGAAAAGGGATTCCTGTATATGCCTCAGGCATTGTTAAAGATGAAAACCTATTTATGTTAGTGCCAACTAGAAATCCTTTACAGAGATGCAAGATACAGCTCCAACCCCGGCCAAGGGCTGCACAGCCCTGACTACAGCACGTCCTATGGCTGTCTGGGATTACCCACTGCATTGAGGGGGAGGTACTGTAATGGAGGGAAAGCTCCCTCCATCGCAGTCAGTTCATGCTAGAAAAGACAGCAGAGGAATGAAAGCAGTGGCATTGACAATTGTCCTGTGGCTCAGGTTCTCCATGATGAACCAAAATCATTAGACTTACACCCGCTCCCACTGCAAACACTGACGGTTAGTGTGGTACTGACTGGAGGTAGCAATCCAAAGGGATCCCACTGCAGACAGAGAACGGGCACTCCGTTGGGTCTTGCTTCATTCAGTCAATGAATTATTAGGAGATAGCTCTACCTATTACAGGCATTATTTAGACAAACAAATTACCTGACTGTGGACAAGGCAACATCCATCACTCTTTAAAAGTATCACCACTGTAGCATTTTTTCATGCATTTTCAATCCACACCATTGGTAGGTACTGGGTTGTGCATTTTGTAGAACTTTGTCTTTTCTATTCATGTTTTTCAAATAAACAAGTAGCAGAATGCAAGTGGCCAGTAATGAACAGAAGGACAAACATAAGGAAAGTCAGTTCCAAGTGCTGAGACATGGCAAATGTTCTTTTGTATGCTTGTTTGGACAATTAAGACTTTTGTTACTGTGCTTGAAAATTAGAGCAAAAATGACATTTCATTATCACCCAGTCAAATTCCTGGTCTGACCTGTAGCTGTCTATAAAATGTCAGAAATGCTTTAAGAAGCAACTATGCCAAATTTTAATTTTCTAATACCATCCATGCTGTATTTTGAGGGGAAGGATAGAATGAGTCAGACAGCAAGTCCAAAACACTCAAAGCCGCACAGAGTCATAATGTCACCTCACTATTGAAAATGCAATTTCGCATAGGGTGAATTAAGGGAGGCAAAATGGCATTACATAGCTTGGAATTTAGCCATTATGGCAAGGCCAAGAGCCGTAACTCAAGGTTAATGGTAAAATACCTGTAATGATACAAAGCAAGGTATTCCTTCTGGTTCTTGTCCATCAGATGACACTTTCTGAAGATGTGTTCTTTTAAATACCATTCTCAAACATCTTTTCCTAAAAGCAGTCCCTGCCAGCTCTTCTCAGAGGTCTTTTGGTCCTAACAAAGATTAGACCCAAATTTGCCATTGTGGAGAAGCGACCGAGCACTGAACAGTCAACATCACCCCTTCTGCAAAAGTTTTATGTTAGTGGAAAGAAATACAGCCCATTAAAATAATCCAAAATAGAACTACATTACTTTCTCTTAAATCTATAGAACTAGAAAACATTTTACATGTACCTGTAGCACTTTCAAACACTTAAATTTTATGAGGATTTCCAAATGCAAAATCTGGCAAGATCAGAGACTAAACTGGCATGACTGAGACTGGCACTTCTCAGCTGGCAGCCTTGCAGATTCTCTTTGTAAAAGGACCAATGATGCTATTAGAGAAAATCATTGTACATAAGCCTTTCCTCCTGAGAGAAGTCATCTTTTTCCGTGCTTAGCAACAGTTCCAACATCATCCAGAAAAGCAAGAAAGTGGTAGAGATATCAGGTATAGTGAAGTATATATATACGACAAGAACCAGTAAAAGATACAGCTGGAGAAAAAATGAAAAGCAGTAGTTTAAAAGTTTTGTAAAAAAATAAGTTTTAAACCTTCAAAATTTAAGCGATTACTCTCAACAAGGTATCATCTTCTACCTTGCCATGTCTTGCTTCTGTCACATGGAAGTAGAGCATCACTGTTTTCAATCCCACAGTTCTCAGCATCTAAAAATTGTTATTTTTTTTTAAATTGCCAGTATTTTCTTAAAAGACCAGCTGCATTTTGACTTCAACTGATTACAATTAGTGATTCTTAAAGAAAAAATTCTTAAAATTTGAAATCCTACAAAAATTAAGCTGCAGTTAGAAACTACTGCTGAAATACAACCATTACAATAGATTTTCTTTCAATAACAGATGGGACTTTTAGGTAGTTATGTGATTAATGATTTTCAGATGAATGGAATAGTTCTATTAAAAGATTTTATCATTTAATTATCTGACTCATTTTAACAAGCCACAGACAGAACAGTGAAGGGTATGACAATGACACATGTGCTGTGAACAGAAGCTGTGCAGCAAGGCGCATTACACAACACATTTTCATTCATTAACAGATCTCAATTAGTACCAACACTCAAAAGCAACAAAACAATCCTTAATTTAGGAAGATTTCTCACATAAAATATTCCATTATCAGACTGTATCTTTTCAAAAATATAAATAACGCACAGTTGTATCATTGTGCTATTTTTCTTTCCAGCTATAACAAGCATTTGAATTCATGGTTTTATAGGAGCTATCAACCTTCCTTATTTCTAATAAATATGAGGACTACAAATATTTTTCAGTTTAATCATAAATAAAACTTGGTGACACAACGATTGGATACCATTTTCCAAATTACTACAGGTAAATTGATTTTAACATCTCTAATGAGCGGCATTAGAAAATCATTATTTAATGAAAGATTCCTTCACTGCTACGTAGCTGAGGGAGAAATACGGTAACAAAATTTACTAAAATCTCTTTATAGGCATAAGATGAAGTTAGTTAGCTTTAATATAATATTCCCTCTGTGCAAATCCACGTCTGAAACATTCTATGTAAAGCAGAGCTCAAGATACATTACACTATTAAAAGCAAAGAAGACATCATCTGAATTGAGTATATTTTTGTATATTGTAATTCAGTGTCTAATAGTTTTATCAGTCTTTCAAAAGCAACACATCTTTCTTTTAATTCACCTGACCATTCCTCATTCTTTGAGAAGAATGGGAGGACTCTAATACATTTAATCTCCACCAGTTTTCAAGTCGTTCTCTTGAAGACAGAAAACTTTAAAAACCTTTCAATTTTTTTAAAGTTATCAACAGTATTTTGAGCATCCAACACAAGGTACAAAAACCCACCAACACCTCATAAGTCAGGCATAAGAGAAATTCATAGTAACAATTAAAAGAAGAATGAATGTATACGAAAATATAACCATTTATTTACTATTGAGTTAGCACTAATTTTAACAAAATCCAAGTAAATGATATTTTGAAATTAAGACATCTTGCATTCTGCCTGAATAATATAGTCAGTGTATACAATTTAGCAAAGGAGAAGCTCTCCCACCTTTCCATTACACTTTTAGTCAATGCAGGTTTAAATTACTGAACAGATTTATACCACAGTTAAATATTGGTGGATGGAAACAAGGCAGGTAGGTGCCTTATTACACATTATTTGAACACCATATGCACATATGCACATACTTAATTAAAAAGTGTTCAGTGACAGTTACAGCTGGAAAAGATTTCCACATGAACAGTCCCATTCTCTACGCTAACAAAATAAAATGCCTTCACCATTGTCAGCCAAGATGTTTTAAACCTGGCAGAGTAGAGAAGGTAACGTGTATGTACCAAGTGCAACCAAAACATGCTTCCCTGCCCCCCAAAGCTTTGGCAAAATGAATCATTGCTTCCATTTCAAACTAAGTATGCTGCTGCTTCTAATTTTATCTGGATGGCACTTCCTGCACGTTGTACTCATTGTAATGCCATTTTTGTCTAAAAGAAATTTTGCAAGATAGCTGGACATTTCCTACCTTGAGACCCTCATATTCTTTCATCAACACTTATTTGCATTCTTATTAGTATGCATGAGATTTTCATTGAACTTTAAGACTCCTACTGGCACATAACACACTGTAATGAGTGTAAAAGTGAGCATGCAAATTAAGACTCTCATTAATCACTAAATGTTACCAGGAAAGGAAAAAAAAACCAAAATCAAACCCAAAAAGGCCTAGGAGTAGATGGCCAATAAAACACAGCATGAAGCATGCAATCTCATGAATATCTATAGGTATGTAAAGTTACTGATATCCTCTCAGGAGCGCTACTGACATGTCCTGAGAAGGTAAATTACACATTCTACAGTAGGTGAACATTCAGAACTAACATTACAGAAAGGTTATCTGTTGCGTGCATCCATATTGCCTGGGGAAAACAAAAGTATGCACTCCCACTTTGTAGTAAAATATAAGAGGTTTTACCTAAATGAAAACAGGTAATATTTGCATTCTGCATATGGATTATATTCTAAATTCAAACTACAGTACAAAAGGAAACACACTTTTAGATTTTTACAATGAAAATCAACTTAATTTTCTGTGTGCAAATACCTAACACTAAGGATAACAAAAGGGATTATGATTCTTTTCTTTTAATATTGAGCACGTTCTAGTTTTACAAAAGCCTTAATGGACATTCCGAAATTTTGTAAAATTCACAGGTCTGAGAACTTGGGAAATTTAATCCTGCCAAGCACTTAAAACTGACATCTTCAGGAGAAGAATTCCAGGCAAATCCTTCAGGAGTAAACCCTTGGCCCTGTGTTCAGTTAACTCTCGGGACTAATACACAAACATCCTCTCCAGAGTCTGAGAAACAGCTTGCACAGAATCAATCTGTAATCTGGATGATTGGTTTATATACTTGCTTTATAGCTTTCTACTTGGTCTCAGTTACCTTATTACATGTTCATAACTTGATAAACACAGCTCCAAAATCAGTCCCTTAGTTTACCAGTTGTCCAGGCTGAATGTCTCAGATATACAACAACATTTAACTCTGACCCTGTTCAAATTTCACTACAACCTGCTCCCACTACTTAAACAATCCCTTGTCCCTGGTTTTGTGCAAGTTCTCCTCAGTCAACTCATGCCCTTAAGTATTTACAGGGACAGTTCTTTTATTCATTTTGGTCACAAGAGGTTTCTTTTCTAGTCACACAGTGTGATGCCGGGAAACAAGGAGAGGGAAAGGGTGCTGGGATGACTGCTTTTAAATAAGGTGGCCATTAAGGACTATTCACAAGTGAAAAAACGGAGTCTCGGCAGAACAAAGACAGCACAGGTGAAAGCAGCTCTCTGCACATCCCAAGAAAAAGGAGAGGAAATACGGCAACAGAAACTTCAGCACAGGCCTTAAAAGTGAAAAGCCTGAGAAGGCCAAGCAAGGAGACTGCTATTGCCAAACCAGCCAAACGTAAAGCGGAGAAGCCATCGATGTCAAAGTGCATACACAGGATTTGGAGAGAAGGCCCACGGAGATGTATGCATATGCCCAGCATAGAAGATTTAGAACACTAAACATCCACAGAATTTCAAAGAGTAAACAGAAAACAGAAGTAAGAAATACTATACAGCGTTCTAACCTTATATTCACCTTTTACTGTTCAGAGAAAACAGCAAGTAGTTTAGAAACCCTTCTGCAAAGTCTCAGACTATTTGCTGGAATGATCAGCATCCATGAGAGCACAAATTATAAAGGGAACACCCACAGAAAGAACGCATCAGGCAATTTTCAAGAGTCTGGACAGAAGATACAAAGTGAAAGTTCAGCACAGGTCTTGTGGGTCTGGGAAACTTCTAGAGCAATCATAAAGAGGAAAAAATGGGGACAGAACTGTAATGAGCCTTTCAGCTAAGCATGTCTAAAAACCTTTTATTAAACTGTTCCCACTCAGATAACTGACATCTATAGTATTATTTGAATTTTTTCTGCGCTGTCCCTTCTTTCCCATTTCTTACTCATTGAGAACTTTTTATTTTACAGGACAGAAAAGAAGTAGTGATGAACTGAACCTCAGAGCATCCTTACTTCATCCCCAATATATAGCAAAGGCACAAAGGTTCTTTGAACAGCCTCTATACACACAGCAGAAGTACCAGTTTTGGCTTTTAAAAATTATGTTATACTTCCACAAAACTGTAATGTTTAAATTGCCAATGGACAAAAAAATACAGGTAGTCTTCCTTGTGGAATTCCTGTACTTTATCTGTCAGAAACATGCCCTACACACGCATTCTGCTTAAGGAATGCACAGAGGAAGAAAAGATGCATGTACCTTCTCTTTCTGTTTCAAGAGAAATTCAGTACTTAAAAGGAAAAGACTGTTACCTATCTGCATACTGTAAATTTTCCTTTTCTCTGTGAATTCCTTCTATTCAGTGCTGTCAAAATCACAAAGACAAAAAAACACAGTTACAAAGATAAAGAAATTAAGCATTAAAAGTGTAAATGCAGCTCATAAAAATGGGACTGGTCAATTGTCTCTTCTTCTTTAAAACAAATCTGACTAAGCTGCCTTGACTTGCAAAAGTGCATCTCAGGTTTGGCAGCTGCATTTTTTTGGCAAGTCCATACTGCAGGGTACCTGACCCTTGACTCCAAGGTCCCTGTACTGGTGCTTGCCAAAATCATCCTTCCAAACAGCTGTACCCTCCCATGCACCACACTGTCAGGTCACATGGATTCTTGCTAAGGTTTCTGAAGAGAGAGATACTGCAGGCTTATGAGTGCTACCCTGATTCCAGCAGTCCTAAGGAACAGGTTCATATAGCAAGTTGGTTAAACCAGCGTAAGACCCTTTGTGAAAGAGTGATTAGCCCACACCCAACTGAGACAGTCTGACCGTCCATGTCATTTCCTGTTAATTCCAGCCAAGTGCAGGTAGAGACTGTTGGACGGCATTTTTTGACTCTTCAAAGGCAGCAGAAGGTCCTAGATGAGAATTCATTCACAGAACAGCAGAGTTACCTGAGGCTTTATATATGTTTCTCAGTGTTTGTGGTGCAGAGCGATTGCATGACAGTCACATAGACCTAAGATGACCAGCAGTGGCTGGAGAACTTTTGGATGAGGAAGTAGACCTTCAGAAAGCTGGATTAGGTAGACACCCATTCAAGCACCAGTTGATTTAGTAAGGACAAGCCTACCAGGCTGCTGCTCTCCTTCAGAAGATGGCTATCCCGGATGGATAAAGAACCAGGAGCAACTAGATTAAGACTTGCCAGCGAGCTGTGGGTACTACAACAGCAGAAGGCAGAAGCTGTTGATCCTGTGGTTTCACCACAGTTGGCAAACGCTGCTAATAGGGTTGAAACACCTTTGAGAAGCTGAAACACCTTTTTAGCTGTTAATACTAGCCTTAGTTGATCACCAAAAAAAAAAATAAAAATCATCGGAATCAGTACAATGGCAACGGTAAAATGCAAGATGGGAACACTTAATATTCCTCTACTGACTCCATGAAGCGATATAATGGGACCAAAGTTTTCTCTTAGCCAAGTATCATATCCCTCAGGGCTGAACAGTGAGCACAAAGGAAAGAGAATGATGTAAAGCAAGTATATTGCAATATTTCCTCAAAACAGATTGTAGCCTCCGTTAATTTGCAGCTGACTGACAAATTAAACGACAGTACTGTCTGTACGAGAAGGATTTTTCTTCCAAGAATTCTTTTAATCACTTTTTGAACTCATGCAAACTTCCATCAAGCAGAATACTCACTGACAAGGAATTCCGCAGTTTAACTAAATACTGCTTAAAATTTGTTTGCTCTAAACCTATCAAATTCTGGAAGACGCCTAGATATTCTCCCCAAAAAGCATGTTGAATGATGGATAGACTCTATCATCTACTATTTCAGGCGTTCTTTACTTACACTACAGTCCTGGATTTTATGCCACATTTAACCCCACACTTGGCTTGAGTTCCTACAGCCTCAAGGACCAACATATACTCCCTCTCTGCCTTCTCTCTTTCTCAAAGGGCTGCTCAGCAAATCCTAAGGTACTTCTCTAACCATGTTGAATTTCTTTCCATGTTCCAAATTTTCAGACAAAATTTTCACAGAATCATAGAATGGTTTGGCTGGAAGGGATCTTAAAGATCACCTAGTTCCAACCATGGGCAGAGACACCTTCCACTAGACCAGTTGCTCAAAGTTCCATCCAGCCCGGCCTTGAACACTTCCAGGGATGGGGCATCCACAGCTTCCAGTGCCTCACCACCCTCACAGTGAAGAATTTCTTAATATCTTAATCTAAATCTTCCCTCTTCCAGTTTAAAGCCATTGTCCCTTGTCCTATCACTACATGCCCTTGTAAAAAGTCCCTCCTCAGCTTTCTTCTAGGTGCCTTTTACGTACTGGAAGGCTGCTATAAGGTCTGCCCAGAGCCTTCTCTTCTCCAGGCTGAGCAACCCGAACTCTCTCAGCCTGTCTTCATAGGAGAGGTGCTCCAGCCCTCCGATCATCTTCATGGCCCTCCTCTGGACTCGCTCCAACAGGTCCCTGTCCTTCTTGTGTTGGGGGCCACAGAGCTGAAGGCAGTACTGCAGGGGGGGTCTCCCCCGAGTGGAGCAGAGGGGCAGAATCCCCTCCCTTGACCTGCTGGTCACGCTGCTTTTGATGCAGCCCAGGATACGGTTGGCTTTCTGGGCTGCAAGCACACATTGCTGGGTCATGTTGAGCTTCTCGTCCACCAACACCCCTAAGTCCTTCTCCTCAGGGCTGCTCTCAACCCATTCTCCACCCAGCCTGTATTTGTGTTTGGGATTGCCCCAACCCATGTGCAGGACCCTTGTTCTTGGCCTTGCTACTGATTTTCACCAGCAGCAGTGGGAAAAAATGGTTAATCACTAACAGGCTCTCCAAATCCCAACAAGACTGTGCAAGGAACAGTATAGGAAAACAAATACCATCATTTTAAAAAAAAAAAAAGCCCCATCACTGTGCCACCAATAATTCAACTAACCTACAAATTAACACTGCAGTGAAGGCATAATTAGGAATAGTAACACATTTAGTTTTGGTTATTCTATCAGATCCCCCTGAGACACAAATATTTTGACATTTAATAGGAGAAAGCCATGATCATACAGGCTTTGTTTACATTTTTATTAAGTACTGATTTCCTAAATATAATTTATCCTATTTGTAAAGGGGTTACTTCATGAATTCAAAATGATTATGCAGTTAAACAAAAGCCTGCATTACCCAACATGAAAGATAACAGACAACCTATTCACAGAGTCAAGTTTTCCATTAAAAACATTGAATCTACATTCAGTGGCAAAGTTATCTTGAAATAAAACCAAAATATTAAGGATTTACCTTCCCATTCTATTGGAAAGTCACCCATTTCATACTGATACGCTTGACGATTTATTGCTTCTACAAATCTTCTTTCCTGTATGATCTGGCCTACAGCAAAAAAAAAAAAAAAAGAGAGAGACAAAAATAGAGTTAAATATATTTCTATGTAATATTTCAACTGCTGGTTTTGTTATTGTTTCGAAAGACCTTTACTTATTCACAGAAGTGCAGTGATGTCTACAGGATAAAAATGAAGGATTAAAATACTGAGAAAATCATAGAATCATAGAATCA